GTGCGCTCTACCCAAAAATTGTATACAGCGTATGATTTGGTAATATAAAGTTTTTTAAACCTCCGAGCAATTACTAATAGAGGGAGCGTGAAAACGAGTTTGTAGGCGATTGTTGTGTTAGCAACATCTGTAGAAGAAGTGAGGAAGCGGGCACAAGGGGGAAGGTAAACATCCTTCTTGTTCAGTGGCGTATCATTTACCTATAAAAACACACATTGTACAAACGTTTTAATTTAAAAAAAAAAACTAAAAAATTTGCTAATTTTACTATTTTTAAAATGAATACCGTCTTATATGTGTCTAATGCAGGAAATGAAACAAAATCACTGTAAAGGTCTAATTTTTTCAATTGAAGAATAAAGCCTTAAAATCAATTTTAATATAAATAAATACAGTAGCGACTAGTTTCGGCCTTACAGGAACATCTTCAGGTCTGTAATACAATAATCTTTAATTATTATAATAGGTTGGTCACTTACGAATAACATTAAATAGTATAAACCACAAAAATGGATCCATATTGTAGCGTTACAACATTATAGAATTAAAGCTGTGAAAATAAAAGAGCAGTGCAAACGTAACTAAAAATAAGAAAACTGAGTACGGAATCTAGAAGAGAAAAAGTGAGAATGAGCAATTACGAATGCATTTAAATTGCTCGAGATAACAAATAAAGCTGATAATGTAGTGGTATAGTCCCCGTCAAAGAAGGTCTGGATATGTTAAAGAGGACGGCGTTTTCTCTGTAAATCTGGAGAATGTAAGGTTGGAGAGAAGACGAGTCTTGCTGGCTCAGGTATAGATGGCTAGAAAAAGGAGCGTGTAGATGAAAGCTCCAGTAATTATCGTCACTTTCGTCTAATTTTTTATTCTCACTCACCGTTTCGGCTTTATCTTCGAAACTCATTTTTAAAAGGAAATAAAAGTAATCATTCATACAAGCATATAATAAAACAACATGAATTCATTATATTTAATAAGCTAATAAACGTTTGTTTCAATGAAAAAAAAAAAAAAAATAATATGCTTTAATATCAAAATCAATTTGAAAATACAATAGATAATAAAATGAAATAAATTAATACAAGTACAAATAGAAAGTTAATAACATACCTTCTAAAAGTAACACATTTTAAGTAGATAACTGTTTAATATAATCTAAGTTTTTCTCCTTTTTAATATTATGAGGGTTTTTGTAGTTGAAATGAAAATTATAATTTATTTTGGTCCTAATAAAAATTTAAACATAGGTTATCAAAGAGTTAAATACATAATAGAACTTCATAATCTTAAATCGTTATCAAAAATTATTAATGGTAAAACTTCAAACAATAATTAGATTCTTAAACAAATTTCTAGTTTTTGTTTTGCAAAAGACTTTTTTGCCTTCTTCGGTTGCCTCTGCCACTTTTCTTTTAGTAGTTTCGAGGAGAATTTTCCTATGGAAACCAGTAGAACCATCAATTGGTTGGTAAAATTTTGATATTTTGGGTCTGATAAGTCTTGTTAAACTTTTTTCTTAGGAAGCTGTAACCATATGGAGAATAAAAATTTAATGTTCTAACATTAAGAGCTTTTGATCTATCAGAAGCTCTTAATTGAGAATTATATTTGCAAAGGCCGTTTTAATAATATTTTTAAAGGTTCTTGGAATCGTTGTTAACAGAAACCTGCAAAAAAAATATATCATTTTATTCCCAAAATATAAGATATCACACAATGCATATTCATATAATATCATTGTGCTAGAAAAATACTAGGTATGTAGGTACTGAGACAATTTAAAAAAGTATTTCGAGAAACTCAACTTTTAATATCATCATTGTACTTAACTTTTTTATTGCTAAATTATTAATAATGTCATTTTGTGTAGTTCGTTGTGATTTGTATAATATATATTATAAAAACCTATCGTCAATGTTAATGTGCCAAGTTTTTTTAATAATTATGTCCTTGTTATAGTAAAAACACATTTAAACACATTTTTAAAGTTTTCTGGATTTCTGCTTTAAATTATCGTACAATTGAACTGACTAATTGTGTGTTTAAGTAAAGGTATATCTCTTTTTTGTTATAACAGTCTTTGTATATTGTTCTAACTTTTTAGATAATCAGAGAAAACAGTAAGACATCTTAATATATCCTATTTCACCAACAAAAATGTAGAATAATTAATCTCACATCAAACGAAAAAAGTAATTTTAGGATGTCCTAATAGGTTTTAACTTAAAAACTAAATAAAATGAATATTGCAAGTGTGTTAAAATAAATGAATGTTTTTATACCTTACTATAGCACCAGACAAACATTTTTTTAGATCATAATGATCTGCATAACTCAAAATAGTCAAAATCCACATTATTTAAGTTGTTCTAGTATTGTTTTAGCATAACGATGTTAACTCCAATAATAAATATTCACATTTTTTTGGGACGTTTTTTAAGGAAATTAAAAGAAAAACATGAATAATGTGATATTCTTGTTTAGTTTTGTACTATATAATATAGTTCATTAGGTAGTGATTTAGAAGCAAATTATGTTCTATTTATAGAATAAAAAATCACTCATAATATCTAAATATTTATACCTATTTATATTTTGGACAGGAAGACTATTTTATGTTTTTGGCTCTGAATACTTTTCTTAAGAATTTTAAAATCTTCCTTAGCTCTTTTGGGATATTCCATGCATATCTTAGAAGTTCATTTTGTTTAAACCTAAAACAAATTAAATACAAAAAATGAACATTTAAGCAATACACAAAATTAGTCTTTTAGATTAGTTAAAAAAAAGTGTCAACAAAAAAATAGCTATGCCTTTTTCCTTAAACATTCTTTTTGAAAGAAACTTAAGTTTCTCTACTTACTTACTGTTTTAGTATTTTAGTAGCAGATGAATATAGTGTAGAAGTAGTGATAGGATTGATTATTATACTTCTTTCGTCGAAATTGCATTTTTCTTTAATATTTTCCTTCCCTGAGGTCTATAATAAAAATGTTCATTAGCATAAAAAGTTATTCAGGTGGTCACTTGTTGAATTCCTATCTTTTGGAACCATGTATTTCTTTCTCATATCAAGAAAAGGAAACCTAAAAAAAATAACAATAAACTTTACAAAGATGTGATATTAAAATAATAATAAGTAATTAACCTTTACTATAATCATTATGAGACGGATGAAGACGAACTTAGCTGGAGTGTACTTGCTCTTAATTTTAATTTTTCGATAAGAAAATAAGAAAGTTTAATTGCAAATTAAAGGTGATTGCCTAATGCATCGCCTCTGATAATTAGGTTGTGTCTGTACTTACTTATGATATTATCTTGAAGAAGCATTTTCAACAGGCCTTTTACACATAAAGCATGTTTTCACCATATTTTTAGAGATAATAAATCTTAAATATACATTTACAACCCTTACAACGTTATAAATAATAATATTTTTCGTAAAATACAAATAAGAAATTGACATGTGTCAGAAAGCGTCAGAACTGGCGCTCACAGAACACTTCTGGCGCTGTCAAACTTGGCAACGCTAATTAAATAAGCCAATTACAGAAGAGGTATTTTCCCCCTCGGGGGGAGTAGATGTTGCTAACAAAATTTAGCGCGAGGAAGGGGGGAAGACTCCCTCTAGTAGTAATTGCTCGGAGGTCTGCACTATCAACGTTTTGTGTATTCAGATTTTAAATTTCATAAAGTCTTTATATCATTGTGTAGTGTGGTGAAAAATAGCGTTCGAGCCTCGGCCAAAAATGAGGTTTTGCTGGCTCGAAATCGTGTTTTAAGTTCGAGACGAAGTCTAAAAGAAAACCTCATTTTCATTTTCGGCCCTATATGTGAGATATACTATTAATTTTCTTACCTTATGGGTGTGATTCTATTACCGAAAAGTACCTGTAGAGTTTAAACTTATAGTACGTAACTGAAACATGTAACAAACAAATAAACTAGGAAACTAAAACTTTAAGAACACGATTCGTGACTGTTCTGCAGTTTGCTAGATACTGTCTTCGTGTAATGGCGAGAGGGGAGGGGCGCGAAGCGGTGCTCGGCGTTGGTGACGCATAGTGTTTTGGTTTGTCAGGTGGGTAGAATCGCAATCGACACGGAGTAATAAATCTGTCAGATCAGGAAATTTCAGGAGGGAGTACCTATATTATTATTTACGGGGTACATAAAATCATTAAAAAATATATTTTTTTTTGAATATTGAGTATTATTTCGGTATGTATCTACTTTACAAAATGTTTTTTGAGTTATTTGCAATTGTTATGTAAATGGTAAATGGTTGTCTGTTTAAGTAAATTAACAACAAAGTATATAACAAATATTTTTCAAGATCTATAAACTGCTCAACCGTGCGCTCATCAAAGTCTTAAAAGGGATTAAAAT